TATATCTTCCATACAAACTTTACGATCAAAATCAAGTTCTTATATGGAAACCTTTTTTTGTGAAGGGTGTTCTAGCTTCGGTGCAACCGCAGTTAACGTTTTTATAATATTGAGACATGTTGCTTCAGAGTATTATAGATTTGTTCACCTAACGGTTGTAAAACTAATTGAGATAGATATGGAGTTGATTTCGGATTATAACCCCACCCATTCCTCATATAACGGTTTTATTAAAAACTACTAAAAATGCGATACAACTTTAAATAAGTCGCCAGAGACATAAAATTTTACACATATCGCCCACATTTTGATGAAAGCCCATATATCTTCCCATATAACACAATTTTAAAGTCCATCTGATTCTTTCACTATTCGGTATACAAATCAAAAAGCAATCAATGTATCTGTACCACCTTATGACTAAATCGGACCAAAGTATTCAGGCGCCCTGTTTAATTGGTTTGTAAGACCAAATGATGACGCGCTATACAATATTGTCTTACCTCAGGTTGGGGACTAAAATTGATAGACACGTCATTGAGTGAGAAATATTCCATTCTAATTTTTTTTATTTTAAATTTGCTTGTCCTTATATACTATTTACAAAACTTACTTATTTAATTAATTGTGTATGTATGTGTGTATGTTTGTATGTATTTCAAAGCACATGGTGTTGCTTTTACGCATACAACTCAATACATATGTGAGTGCGTGTTTTATGTTATCTATATGTGTAATTATGTGTGGACTGTATATGTTTGTATGATAGTTGAGATTATGGTACATATTTTTACTAATATTTAAACTTATAAATATAACCTATGCTGCGGCGCACCACTAAATGATGGCTCTTGCCACCAACGTACATGCTCATATTTGAACATGTCGCGCGGGAGTGACAAAAGTGACTGCTGGAAAGGTGCCCGCATCTAAGTGACGTTGTTGTTGTAATGGTTATCTAGTCCCCGCTTGGGTGAAAAGTTTCAGTTTGGGCGACTGTTTCGACGGGGTCGGACCATAGGGAAATAGTTGTTAGATGAGTGGGGTTCGTTGGGCATGCAAAGAGGGGGTTGGTCTCATGCGGAGACTCATTGAATGCAGAACATTTATTGGGTATGTCGGGCTAGATTCTAGATAAGTAGGAGTTTAACCTGCTACAGTATCCAGAACTAAGTTGGGCAAGGGTCACTCTAGATTCACGTAGCAATTCGAGCTCTACGTCTGCGATGGGTGGTGGTTTGACTCCAAGTACGCCATTGCCTGAGAGGGAGTCGGTGAAGGTGTTGATACCTTCACTGCAAATGACGATCAGTGCATGCCTAAAGTTCGTTGCGTCCGAAGTCTGGTCGGCGTACTGTCCAATGTCGTCGACGTAATCAAGGAAGGACCTCTTTATGATCCAACTGCAGGGGTGTTTTCTGCGAAATCATACCAGCAGAAACTGCTTGGAGAGGAGCTCGTTATGTTCCTTAACCGTCGCGTGAGGAGTGAAGTAGCACAGACTGTCTTATGTAACTCCTAAAATTTTAGGGTGGTTGACTGTTGTGCCATCGACTGGAATGTTTAGATCCAGTCTGTACTCCTTCGTCCAGTTAGTAGAACTGGTCGCAGTGGATTTAGTAGGCGAGAGTGTCAGACTCCTTGTAGAAAAGAAGCGAGAAAGGTCGGAGAGATAGCCGTTTACTTTCGAGCACATGCCATCGATTCCATTGCCCAACGTCAATATCGTGCAGTTATCAGCATACGAGGTCACGGAAATTCCCTCTGGTGGTTAGGGGAGTATTGTATGTATGTAGAAATTAAACAGTAGTGGGGAGAGTACACCACCCTGCGGAACCCACTGTTTAATACTTCTAAGTTTGGAGTTTTTACCTCGAAACCGTACGGATGAATGCGGACCACTCAGGTAGTTCATAGCGTAGATTGTTCTATGTCCTCAAGTAGCGTTGTGTGGTTGACTGTGTCAAAAGCTTTTGACAAGTCCAACGCTACGAGGGTCGTCCCCGCACAGGTTTAGGTCATGAACTATCTGGGCGTTTATGACGCTAGGTGCTATGGTGTTGCTGTGCACTTTTCAGAAGTTATGCTGATGGTCTGCTAGACTCGGGAAAGTTATCGGACGATATGACTCCCCTTTGTTGGCGGGTTTCTCAAGTTTCAGTAGTGGGACCACTCCTGCGACTTTCCACACATTGGGTATTTGAAGAGGGGTCATCGACAAGTTGAGGACTTTGGTGAGGTAGCTTACTGCCGTCGAGCCTAGATGTTTTAGCATCAGCATGCTTATTCCGTCAGGGACAATGGATGTGGACGATTTGGCCTCTTTGATGGCACTCTGAACCTCCCATCGGTGAAAGTAAGTGGTGCGCCGTCTGCGGGTTGTTTCTCGATCGAGATAACTATCGACAGGTTATGTTATTTATCAGACCACCGCTAGCGATGGTAATATCTGGCGAGCTATTACAGGTGTCCATAATTTTGGTAGGGGGCTTCGTCATTTATTGTGCAGAATGTCGAATCGGCAATCTGTTCCGTCAGCTCTATCCTTCTACGATCGTTGTGCGCGTTAAAGTCGCCTAGCACTAAACGGTTTTCACCACGAAGTAGCGAACTTATTTTCGGGTGATATCCTGTGAGCTGCTTCGGCGATCACCTTGCGGAATTGCAAGCATTGCACTTGTCTGATGTGATACTTCAGCGTATTACGGTCTCACAAACGGAACTGATTCGGCGAGGAACCAGGAGTTGCTGAATGGTTCTCGGGCGATGATTGGAGCGGGATGAAGGTTGGGGAGTCGATTGATAAGATCCAAACAGAGTTAGATCGCTGAAATAACAGCCCTTAGCCGGATAAAATCCGCGTCAATTCCGGCAACGTAGAACCAGCTTTTGTGGGAATTGAACTAAGTGACGTCGTAGCTGGTGGCTGCATATTTCTGCCATTCAAATGTTAACATGTCATATAACAGTTTACGATGACTATGTATCTTCCTATGTTGTATTAGTAATAATTTACCCGTAACTATTCATATTCGTCGCAAAAATATTCTGTCGGGTTTCTCTCCCTGGCGCTGTACTTTTGAATTTAAATTTCTTTATTTGTGGCTTAGTATACTCATCTTCCCTACTTTTATCCTTAATTAACTACGTAGATTGTTGTGCGCGTTTTGGTGGTGGAACCATTTGTATCTTCTACTTGACCTTTGGGTCCGGTGTTGCTTCGGCTGTTGATTTGCGTCTACCCCTAGCATCATGTCGAGAACATTTATATTTGGTTGTAGTACCAATATTACAAGGAGGGTTCCTTTAAACTTAAAAAAAAAAAACAGAAAAAATGGTTTTATCGGCAAAATCAATTAATTTTATTCAAAATAGTCTCCTTCTGCTTTAATACAGCTTTTTGCACGGTCCAAAAGCATGTCGAACGAGTGTTTTAGCTCGTTGCAGTATATGCCAGTACGCCGGTGCAACCCTTTGAATAGCTCCACGTCTGCATAAAGCCTTCCTTTCATCGGCAAATACATTTTTCTAAAGTAGTTTCTTTATTTATTATTAAGTACCGCACATTTAATGAACAATACTTTTTATGTCCTTATGTTCAGGTATTTTGGTACACTCTAATATACGGACTTGTATGTTATACCTATATTTTGTGCTTGTACGAATTGAGACATGTGCTTTTAGTATTTTTGTGTATGACAATCCTGCTTGTTTGTTCAAGGGGTATTGCCGGATAATTACCTATGAAGACTTTGAAAATATTATATAAAATTGTATATACCAATATATATTACATATAAAGTATGTTGTTGGTTATATTTAAAATAGTCTCCTTCTGCTTTAATACACTTTTTGCACGGTCCAAAAGCATGTCGAACAGTGTTTAGCTCGTTGCCTGGTATACCGCCAGTATGCCGCCGTGCAACCTTTTGAATGGCCTCCGTCCCATAACGCTTTCCTTTCATCACCAGATGCATTTTTCCGAAAAGGTAGAAGTCACGCTGCCATATCAGTTGAATACGAGGGTGGTTAAAATGTGATTTTGTCAAATAATCGCACAAAGCGTAGATCGATGAGACGGCGCATTATATGTAAACAAACTTCCATCTTCGCGATATTCGGCCGAGCACGTCGAATACGCGCACAAACGCTTCAAAATTCAAGGTAGAATACCGCATTAACGTTTGGCCGGGTGGAACAAATTCTTTGTGACAATACCTGTAATCATAAAACAAATCAGCATTGTCTTCACTTTTGACTTCTCCAGGCACGATTTTTGGGTTTCGGCTCTCTCATTTATGTCCTCGCGACCACTTTGAAAACGTTGAAACCACTCGTGCACACTGCTACGTTATAGGCAATCATCGCCATAAACTTGTTTCATCAATTCAAACGTTTCGGTAAAAGTTTTACCAATTTTAAAAACAAAATTTAATGTTGGTCTTTGTTCGAAGCTCATTTCGCCGATGACAAAAACATATTGACACCTAAAACACAATAACTTCACTTCTAGATGAAATGTCATGAAATTTTTACTGAAGTCTATAAAGGATAGCAGATTCTAACGACATATAGATACACACTAGAGTTACTTTGGTACTGTTTGGAACGCACCTTGTATAATCATCTGAGCGATTTTCTGTTATGCCTCCATCGTAGGAGACTTTAATTTCTTATCGTCATTTGTGCTCTTCTCCAGAATCAGTTCTTATGACAACGATAGCCTAATTCCTCTAAGTGAGTCCAGTACATCTATGTCGAAATTATCAGAAAGGCTCAAGATTATGAAATGTTCGGTTACACCGAACTTAGGCTTCACATTTATTGTTACGGGATTTGTCGCATCCAGCAATGAACACTTAAAATATGTGCTATGTAGTATATCTACATATTATATGTATTTACGAAATTGTGACATCCTACATCCCTTGAAGATATATGAATGTGCGATAAAAAATATTACATTTATTAATATGCATTATGTTTAATTTTTAGTGGAACAGTGCGGTTTACTTGGAGAAAAAGCTCCAAGGTTATGGCGAAAAACTTTTTCACTATCTTAACCTCTTTTGACACACCACTGGAATGATTTAGCCAGGTGAGTCAAAAACAAAAATCTTTTACGGCTCTAAGTTACCTACTTATTTATATTGAATTCACAAATGTACAGTAGTTTTATATACTTAAAGTATTTTTATAAATTTTAGCACAGGGACTTAAGCCTACAAAAATGGTACTCTAGTTTTTGCCAAAAATATTCAATTTGTTGTGTATTATATCTGCTATGATATAAAAATGTCAACTCATTCAGATTTTTAAATTGTAAATAGAAAATAAATTTTAAATTTTGCAAAAGAAAAATTCTAATTAAATAGTTTATGGAAATTTATTTAAGTGGAGGAAAAAGTGGCAAAAAAGGACAATAGCATTTTCCTTTTCCATTTTTATGTTTTATTAATTAATATATTTGTGAACTTTGTCTAGCTTTCATTAAGATAAAAAGGATAAATTATTGAACATATTTCATGTGTCAACTTTTAAATTTTTCCGTTGTCAATCCTACTCTCCATTAATAAATCCATTGAATCAACTCCATATTTATGAACGGAGTCCTACCCGCAGACTATGGACGCTACGAGGTTGGCTTTCAAATTATTTCTTTAATTAGTCTTAATATCAAGCAAAGCTTGCTCGGTTTGTGCTTGGTTCATTCGCAGATACTCCATGGATATATCTTTGATACGCGACAATGTTATTTTACTTCTAGGCAGTGGATATAAGTAGTTATGTGCCACTCGATTGAGGTCCTAGGCGGAAACATGAAGCAAAGATTTCTGATCCGGAAGATTGTGTATGTCATGCTTCGTTAGTGAAGGTATGGACATTATTTTTACTTTTTCCTGAAGAATACATTGTCCATATCATACTAAGTAGCATCAGTAAGTTTCGCCCAATGATCTTACAAAGCTACCTCTTCGGGTTCGAGACTGCGTGAAATGCTCTCCATTTTATGGAAGTCCCTTGAGTGTTGTGGAGGGATGCCTGAAACTACGATGCATTTTTGAAATTTACTGCAAAAATTATTATACCCAGGAACGCAGTTTTCGGACCATCGTGATCCATTCGAAAAGCGATGGAAGATACTGTGTCCTTTAATATTCCTAGAAGCGATTGGATGTCAGCTATACATGCTAATATAAAGAGTTGTAGTCACCTGGTAATTTTATCGATAAATAATTAAAATTTCTGAGTGGAAATTCGAAAGTCCGATTGGTGTTATAATATCCTAGTCGACATCTCATCTTTTGCCACAGGATATATCTGCAAAGTACTCACGTTAAATCGTCAGTTATTTCCACAAGGTTACCATTCATCAACTTTTTCGAAAAATTAGTTATGAAACTAAGTGTGTATTGACCTAGGTGCGTAGGCAGGGTGGACGTCTCACAAAGGGCTAGTATGTGACCTATAGTTTAACGTACAAAGATACCAAACACGCTTGTAATGAATTCAGAACATTCCTTATAAACGTATTTTAAAAACGTACAAATGTTAGAAATAAATGCTACCACTATGTTTGCTTGATATATTTTAGAGGTTTGTGAGATACATACTTATATATACATATATGTACTTCCAACGAAAAGCGGGATCCCGCACTCTTTTTAACCCGCAGATGCCCCTCCCTATTTACTATTATATTTATCTTTGTTTTAAATAAGCTCCTCGAGCTTTATTCCTAAAACAAACAAACTGGATTTGAACTAGATCTTTTTTCATTATTTCGCTTTCACTTATTTTATATTATATTGAGTCTTCTATATACCTTATAGAGCAACCGCAGTGGCAACAAGTACCGTGAAATCGCACATAATGGCAATTTTACAAGAATTTGTTGTATTATCAACTCTTGACCCATCCTCGATTTGCGAAATAGAACAAAAGCGCTTGAGAAATCACAATGAACTTATAATTATGGAGAATGCACAGGCTATGATTAATATACAACACCAATTCTGCGCGGCGAGTTATGATGCCTTTTCATCTTTAACCTGCTGTTTTGTCTGTCAATCACCTGTTGGTTTCCCCCATGAGTCGGATTGTGCCATGATAAAGCAAAGGTATGTACCATTTGTTTTATTAATATAACCACACATCCAGAATGTTTATCACATACACTAGCCGACATAGGTCTACGCTCCTCTGTAAAATAATTGTTTACTGCTTTGAATCCTATAAATCATTATTTAAATAACTGACATTTTATATATATATTATTTTATATTAATATTATTCTCAATAAGCTAAGATGCTAACGGTACTAATCATGCCACATAGACAGGTGACGCCATAGATAACGGGACTTTAGTTGCTGCAACAAAGAAATACTTGCGTCAAAAGTGTACGCTCATCTCGTTTCAGTTCTAGTTATTGTATCGCAAACCTCTCAAATAAAAAAAAATCGTCTTTATAGAAATACAATCTTATTAAAGTCTAATTTTGTAAATTTTTAAACATTTTGCAAATTTTGTAAAGTGTAGTAAAAACCGTCAGTAAAAATTGATCAAGTTTCAAAATTGTCAAAAAAAAAACAATTGGTATTGAAATTTGTATTAGGACGTTATGAAGAAGCCACAACCTCACAACTTCCGTTGTCTTGTTGCAACCAAAATCCGTTACTTATTCAAATTTGCATTTTTTTCAATGGTAGATGCAATAAATTCAAAGTTTCCTACTCCCCCAGCTGTCATACTTTTCCACATCATCACACCTACTCCACGATATTTGACAGAATATAGCAAATTGAATTGAGCGTTCTTACCGATCTTTTCCACGCGATTTTCTACTCTCGCTACTCTTTATTTTCCACAGCGATACATTTTTGTCGGTTACCCAAGGAGTTATGTGGTTTTTACTAGCAATTTCTGATACTTATGGTCTTTTGCCATTCTTACTATACATCAAAAATCACCGAGTCGCAGTTATCTCGACTTTTGCCTACACAAGGGACATAATACTCCTTTATATTTATCAGCTTAGGAGAACGTCCAGATCTTGCCTTTGAAGTGATTATTCCTCCTTTTGCAAAGTTTTGGATAATTGTCCTATCTGATGTTTAAATTCTACCGAGGGGTTTTACTGTGCCGTTTATTTTGGATCTTTAGTGTGCCATTTAATAATAATTTGTCTTTCACCCTTTACATTTTTTTTTCACTTTGCCTCCATTACTACAAAAATTGCAAAATGTTAAAAAATAAAATTAGACTTTAATACGATTGCTTTTACTATGAAAACCGAACATTTTATACTCACGCATAGTCAAATGGCATACTCGTTTGAGATTTCTTTATATATAATATTTTAATAATTAGAAGTAGGAAGTGTTGCCTCAGTTATTTACACTCACAGTGAAATTAATTAGATCAATTTGTAAATCGTTCTTGTGTTTTGTTGCATACGCTCATAATTAATTTTATATAGAATGAATTACAACTGTATTGAGAAGTATGAAAAGAAAGAAAAAACTTTGCGGCCTGAATAAATTTTCTTTGCAGTCTTTGGTTCTATAGAGCTAGCAATGCTATGTTTTGCATATCTTATAATGCCCCGTTTATTTCTGTTGCTTGTTTCCGTGCTATCTATCCTCAGCTCGTTAATTGCAGTAAGTCCTGGTATATTAAAATTTTCGCAAGGATAACTCCAAGTTTCTACAAAACATAAAATATCTGAAGATAGCATCAAAAAGTCACTTTTTATATCATTATTGTGAGCATGAAGGCTCTCAACATTATGGAATAAAATTTGATGTCCTGATTTTCGGGAAATCATAAAATTGAAACTTGTCAGAGCTTTATTTGTGTTCAATTCCCTCACTTCCCTAAATACAAGATCCGATTCGGAAAATTGGTTAGGAGGAATAAAATTTCCTATGATGAATAGACCTTCTGCAGTAGTAGCTCGACTGCAAGCGACATATATTAAAGCTCTAGACATTCTGGGTCGAGTATGAACTACAACTTTATTAAATGTGGCACCCTGACTTTTATAAATAGTTATTCCCTCAGCCGGAACAACTGGAAACTGATTTCTTTCAATTGAAATTTGTTCATTGCTTTTATATTGAAAAGATTTAAAAAAATTTTCAATTGGTGTCTAAGAACTTTCTAGAGGATGAGGCTTTTTTGATCGTGCTATTAAACCCAAAGAAGGTTCCAAAAACTTAATCCACAGAATTGTTGGAAAAAAACAATAGAAATCAATTTGCATAAGTTGTCCAGCTGCCCCATTAACCAAGCCATCACACGTGTTTATATTCACTGAAATCATATATTTGGCGGAGGTTTTTAGTTTCAATTCATAGGGCAGTCCCTGCGTTTCAGAAGTTTTGAAAAGTTTAACTCTTTCCAAAATATTTTCATTTTCACTTATACCAATTCCTTTAATTGAGTCTTTTGCAGTTGAAAGGATAGCTTCATTTGGGATTCGACTGAGCTTAAGTGCATTGAAAATATTTGTCTCTTCATTGAACCAAAAGAAATGGATGGCATCATCGGGAACTTCTTCAAAATTAACTACTCGAGTTTCAATGAGTGATATGTCCTAATTTATCATAGTACCAGATGCCATATGGTTTAATGCAATTGTAAAAGACTGATCCTCTCGTTGTCTCCTTATTTCTGTTAATTCAAAGTATTTAAATATCTCTCACAAAGGGGAACCAACTAAAGTGCTGTATGCATCATTGGGATTAGGAGGGAATATCCACCTATATCCAACAGGTGAGAGTTGTTTCAAATCACCAAACACTATGATCGGTATACCACTGAAGGGGCTGTCTGTTTTGAAAATTTGTTTTAATCTCGCATCAACAAGAACATACCATCGATACTTCATCTCTTATTTCCCTAGTACAAGATCGACTGTGGTTATGCTTTTGATAACCCAAATAATATTCTAAGTGGCTGACCGAACCATCTGTAGAAATATAATTGTAGGGAATACATGCCATGTACATGCGAGGAACCTCTCTGTTAAAACTAGACTCTGCAGTAGAAATTTGTGACAAAATGCTCTCCAAAAATGCCGGCATTATCTTTAAAAAGCTTAAGAAGAAGCTCGATAGCGGTACTCAAAATATCTAGCACAAGTAACCGCGTCTGACCGAATTAAGCGATATCTATCTTGGGTTGTTAAACTGTTGGCTTCCTCTTCCGAAACATCTCTAGAATCAAAAGTTTTAGAAAGGATGACCAAAAGCTTAATCCACTGAGATTCTGCAGCCGATAAAGCAATAAAAAAGGTTGGAAGCCCAAATTGGCGAATCATAGCTGAATAAAGGGAGGAGAAATCCGGTGTCCCACTTTAATTGTATTTTAATATTGCACTCACTACTGAACTTAAAATAGCAAGAAAAAATGCACTTGTTACTTGTTAATTTGAATTTAATGTTAAATTCTATTCTTGTTATTTTACATTTTTCAATGATATTTGGAAGTCAACGAGACGAATCAGTATCCGGATGAAACCAAGTGACGTGCTGGATCGTCGTCGTAATGGGAAAGGTTTATATAACGAATTAAATACGGTAGCGAGCAGGTTCGTATAACGAAAACGAATAAAGGCAGCAAGCAGGAACCGTGTTGACTGACGTGTATAATATAATCCTTTTTTTAGGTGTCTTCATGCATGTTGTTCTCAGAGGTTGAGTGTGGTAGTGTCGTCGTGTGGGGTGAAATTCCTTGAGTGTTCACAGGTATGGTGTGTTTCATTAGGGTGTGCCAGTTTTTCCCGAGTAGATGGTGTACTTGGAGGAGGGAGTTTAAACTCATTTAAACAATAGCGATTGCCTTTTTCTTCTAAGCTTCCCAGTGCGCAAGAGACGATCTAACGCTTTTCTAAACCTTGTAACCATCATCGTGTTGAATAAAGTTTTGAACAAAGTTTTCGTTTAATAGATTTTGAGCCGTAACTCGGTTGCGGCCTGAAAACTTTCTAAGGCAAATGGATGTACTATTCTTAATTTGTAGCAGTTCTAATTTTTTGTAATCATAGAACATGTCAAAACGGCGAATTTCAGAACGTATTATCTTGCTATATGTTTCAAAGCATGTACGTATATTGTTCCAAATGACAATTCTTCTGAACTATTATCCTGATTTATGTCAATTGGTCTGTCTCCTTCACCTGTCGCTATGACTAAACGGTTATAGTCTAAATTTTCTACAGGAATATTGTCCAAAAGAGTTTCTTGACCACCTGAAGCTCTGAAGGTAAAAGAAACCGTGAATGCCGCATGAAAAGATTGAACCAATCGGGAATCTTCTGCAGATACAACAAACGGAACTTCTTCTTGGTTATTAAATTCTGAAATCCAGTTCTTATTAATATGTATATTGTGCTCACGATACAGAGGGGTATTCACTAAGAATTGCAAAGCTTTAATAATCTTTGCGGAGCGTATTATATCGATCATGTAATCATGATTGTATTCCAAACGCCTTCTTAAGTGAATTTGTATCACATGAGACTCATCAAAGGACCTTGGTAGAGATGTCACAATATTGTTATCAGAAATTGGTATATTAACAACAGCACTTTTGAGAGAAATCTGGCCTTGATATCCTGACGAACGGATTGTCCTAAGGGAATCTAGGCCTTATGAGACGTTCTTCAATTGGCGTAAACCTTTCAAACAATCGGGTATTTCAGGAAAGTCTAGACCGTTAGCTAAACATATTTTTGGAAGGTTCTTTTTAACAATCGCATTTTTGCAAGTAGCACAAAAACTGTAATTTCCATTTTCCGAAGGAAATTTTTGCACTAAAAAGAAGGCGGATGCAGCATTCGGGTGACCTTGAGTAATAGTTTCGAAATTTAATTAGCCAACTTGGTGTGAAAACCATAATCCGCCGCAGCAACTACATATTTCAGGGCCTTTTTTTGTATTTTGGAAATAAATGTTTCTGAAATCTGTTAAATTGCCACTATAATCAGTTTCTATAACATTATTTTCTCTCGTTAATCAGATTCGTTGGGACTGCCTTTCGTTTTCAATTTGCCTATTGACCGGGTTATCTCTACGAAGGCGAACCTGACTTTGTCTAAGACGTCTCTGATTCAA